AGGGTGTAAGGGAGCTGACCGAGTAAGGCATGGCAACAGGCCAAAAGGAAGTTGCCCTGCTAGCTGGCATATACTGATCTTTTGCGTTGGATAAGTGCAGCTAAGCCTAAGGGCTTTGTTTACGGCCGCGCCTGAATGCATATCAAGTCACTGCAAGTGGCTGAAACGAAGGTAATTCAAGTGCACTCCAGAATCCCGGCAGGGATGCTGTATAGTACATTGTGCACATTGTTATAGAGGTAATATACTATGCAGCATTTCAGAAGGGATTCCGGAGTCCATATGGCATATAATTGTCATTTTTTAGAAAGGAACAAAACATGAACACATAGCCAGCATATGACCATTGGGAACATGACTGAATTTACACATATGAGTGGCGATTCATGATCAGTCATGCTGCACAAGGAGCATGACAACTGTCATGACCATGACTCTGCCTCATGACCGGTAACATGACCGGTCATGAGGCCTCATGAGTGGTCATGAGGCAACATGACCAGATCTATGACAGGAAACCCCCCGCATGACCACATCCATGACCAAGTCGTTCCCCGAGTGCCATCTCCATACTATGAAGGAGCGCTTCTTCATTTCTTCATTTTATCTGAACCTTAACGTATCCTTCCAACACAATGTCCATGGACAACGGTAATGAGGTCGGCGCCTACGAGTTTGACCGGAACGCCCTGGACAACATCGCCCGTCGGCAACAAGATCGCCCACGCAAGAAATACAGCCAGCATCGTCCAGTGGATGAGTTTGGAGTACATAAGTTTGCCAGGGCAAACAATCTAAGTCAATTTACCGCGTGCCAATTGGAGGATGCCTTGTCCAAGGAAAGGTGCCATATGGACGACCTTGTCAACCTATTGCGCCAATCTAGTGACATGGACGCAAAGCAGTTGCTTGGGGACATCAACTTGACACCACTCCATGCTGCTCTGGTCGTCTCAAAAGTTTGTCTTAGCATAGCTTGCGTAGCTAGTATTGCCTGGTTTTAGTTGTTGCATGTAAGCTTGTGAGTTGGTGGCCTGGTTCATGCTTATGGGCGACAATTGAAATGCTGGGACAATGACTTATTAGGGACAATGACACGGCATTTCACGCCATCAAAGCGGGAACAAACGCTAAAACTAAATACATACATAGTTCTAAATCTTCTAAAATTTTCCTGCAGCGTTAGAGGCCTTTAATTAATATTGGCGAACGATGCTTCCCGCGCTACCGGGATACTCCCTATGGCATAAACATGCCGGTTACCGACCGTTTGGGGCCCATTATCCCAACCGACCGTTAACCCAACTGATAGTTAACCCAACTGGCCGTTAACCCAACCGACCGTTAACCCAACCGGGCCGTTAACGCCATTCAACCGGCCGGTTGGGTTAATGGGCCCCAAACGGTCGGTAACCGGCATGTTTATGCCATAGGGCTGTCACACTTGCGTGCAGCTAAAATGTAACCCACCATATTACAGCGTGGTTTTCACACCCATAATTCTACAAAATTTAATCCTATTAACCGTGCCTAGCCATCATGCAGCAAGTCTCAACACCAACTCACACGTTGCAGGAACTCACAACAAATGTACGGCAAGAGACAGACACTATGATGACGGGTGATCGCGTTACGTCGTGTTAAATTCGCGTTACGAGGCTTTAACGCGAGTTTAACACGACGCTAACGTGATGTAACGCGATTTTAAGCACTGTTAACACACCGGTTCGCTTGTGTGTATGGCCTAACACACATCATCTTTATTCGCATGCGAAAGAGCTGAGTAATTTTGGCTGGCAGTGTGTTATAACACACTAATTAGCTTAAGCAACTAACGCAAACTAACACAAACTTTACACGATCGTAAACACGACCAGGTGACTTTTAAGGCGAGCGTACGCGTTACCTTACCTGTAGGTGTAACGCAAACGCATGCGAATGGCATACACGGCTGCCACTGGTGCGAATGCGTATGCATATGCGAATGTGGCGAATGATATCGCGAGTTTTACGCGACCCTAAACATGACCAGGTGACTTTTAACGCGATCGCCAAACGCGAGGGATTGCGAATGGCATACGCGACTGCGAATCCTGTGAATGCATGTGCTACCATTTGAATTTTACGCGAGTGACTGCGACTTGCGTGCGGGACTGCGAACTGTACGGCCAACCGTGCAATACAACAGCTTTACAATAGCAGTACACGAGCTGTACAATGTGCAAAGTGCACCGCCGTTGCATATGACCTGTGAACCACAACACTCACTATTTTCTTCATACATTTGAACTATCCCTGAATGACAGGTACGAATTCAAGCAAATCCTAACATGACCTATGCAACTCAGCCAGCAACTCTTACCATGGAAACGGGTCCAAAAGTCTAAGCGTCAGAAAAAATGGACACACAAATGTTAAGCGCATGTAACTGTACCACAATACAGCCACTATTGTCTTCTTATTAAATCCTCTGCTGGTGTCATCTTCACGAACGATGGCATATATCTGCATATGAAAGGATCACAACAATTCATTGTTTAGGCAGGAACACATAGTTGTGAGCATGTTACGTACAATGACGGCTGTAGGTGTGACAAGTGAGTACAATGTTCAGTAAGTACAATGTCGTAACACAAGGCGAGTCGAAGTAGTTCACACTGTTCTAGTTTCCAGTCGGTCACACCACGTATATTCCATTGGACTATATGAAGCGGTTCATACCTCCGGTTGGCTTCCTAGGCGGTGTCCATTGTCGTACCCCCGGGGAGGGGGGTGCCCCTCCTGGGGGACCACCCTGCTCTCGCCCGCGGTCGCTGCCTCTCCATGCTCACCCACTGCCTCCGCTTCCACTCACTCCAGTCCCACCACCGATCGATGTCGCATTTGCTCCCGTTGCTGAACCGTTGCGTGGCTTGGTTGCCATGGTCCAGTGTATGGCTGCCACGTCCCGTTGTTCTTCACCACTATGTCAACACCGTGTACCCAGCGGACGTCGTGTTTCTCAGTGTCGCGTAGCCAAATGTATGTGGCTGTCCGCTGTGCCTTCAGCTCCAGGCCCCGCTTCATCAGCGAGTCCTGAATGATGAAGTTGTTAGTGTTGGCTCCCAGCTGGTGTGACGCACGATGCAAGTATACGTGACGAACCGAAATGCCCCACGCTTCATATTAAAAAAAAAGGCAACAAACGCACAAATAGCCCTAGAAGTGAGGACTGCAGTATAGCGAAAACACAGAAGAGTGAAATACGGACGGCCAAGAGCTCGGATGGCGGCCATGGAAGCCATGGGTGACTCACCGGTCACCCTCGAGTCCCTTATGACTTTTATAAAGTCAGAATTTGAACGCTTCAACCAGAACTGGCAGCAGCAGCTGCCGGCGAAGGTGGAGCAGATAAAGGGAGAGCTCAAGAAGGAGCTCAAAGAGGAGATCATGGGGGAGCTGCAGGTGGACCAAACCGAGAAGCTTTTCCGCCCGGGTCGGCTCTTGGTGCGGACAAAGCCTTCACTAGTCGAGCAGCTGCCGCAGAAGTTGAGGCAGTCACTCCGCTCAAGAAACCAGTACGCAGAGATAGGGGTCGACATTTCACCACGGCTGGACACCCGGGCGGCTGCACCGACCCTCAAGCTGATGGAGGCGGGGTGCTTCAAGGGCATGGCCATGGTGGACGTCATCTTCCACACAGACAGCCGGGGGTTTGTCATCCAAGCCCTCCTACATCTACGGTGCCAGCTGGGAGCCAACGCTAACAACTTCATCATTCAGGACTCGCTGACAAAGCGGGGCCTGGAGCTGAAGGCACAGCAGACAGCCACATACATTTGGCTACACGACACTGAGAAACACGACGTCCACTGGGTACACGGTGTTGACATAGCGGTGAAGAACAACGGGACATGGCAGCCATACACTGGACCGTGGCAGCCAAGCCACGCACCGAACGGCAACGGTTCAGCAACGGGAGCAAACGCGACATCGATTGGTGGTGGGACTGGAGCGAGGAAGCGGAGGCAGTGGGTGAGCGTGGAGAGGCAGCGACTGCAGGCGAGAGCAGGGCAGTCCCTCGGGAGGGGCACCCCCCTCCCCGGGGGGTACGACAATGGACACTGCCTAGGAAGCCAACCGGAGGTATGAACGGCTTCGTATAGTCCATTGGAATATATGTGGTGTGACCGACTGGAAACTAGAACAGTGTGAACTACTTCAACTCACCTTGTGTTATGACATTGTTGTACTTACTGAAACGCACGGGTCACTTGTGGGCAGGCTATCTCGGCTGATACCTAATGGGTCTTGCTGCTATCTTGCTGGGAAGTCTAGAGAACGGGGGGTGTTTGCGTTTGGGTGCATCAGCGGATCGCACGTCATATGCATGTTACTCACTGCACATCGACAGATGCACCAAGAGGCATGAACAGTGTCTGGCTGAGAATTCACGGTGAAGCCCTGAATTTTGGAGGGAATGGTTTGGTTATTGGCGCCTGCTACACTGCACCGCTTGGATCTCGGGCTTACACAGCTAATGGACGTAGACCACAGGATAGTGTAACACGACGCGTCATGGACAGGGTGCGGTCGCTGGTGAGATGATATCAGCAACCTGGGGACGAGGTTTTGTTGATGGGGGACCTAAACTCCAGGGTAGCAGAGATCCGTGAACTGCCAGATGTTGATGGGGACGCTGAGTTAGCAGATTATGTTCAGGCTGAGCTGGGGCAAGCCAACCTATTGCGTTCTATTCCGCCACGCCTTTCAGAAGACAAAACTGATAATGTGTTCGGAAGGGCCCTGGCTACCTTGTGTCAGGAAATGGAGATGGTTGTT